CGTCAGTGTTCTCGTCGATTATTGTTGTATTATATCCTCCCGCACTTCTGTCCGAAATGGATAAACGTTTCGGATTTCCGAATCCGGTGTCATAATCATAATTGTCAAGCATTAGTATGAAGCAAATCATATCAGATGGTTAACCCACTGTAGTTCTCAATTTAGAGATAAAAATGCCCCCAGAGGAAGAATTCTGCGGAAGTCTACGCAATTCTGCTCCGGTACTAATGAAATGTTGAGACTCATATCGGTTAGTATGAAGTGTTCTTGTTACGATTAGTGAATTCTCGATAAGTCGCATATACTGACGCTTAAAGGATTCGACGCTGGCCAATCCTTTAGGAATGGCCCATGTTCTTGATTCCATTGTGGAGGTGACTAGATACATTGTGGCCTATCCATACAACGCGACCTGTGAGGGCCTGGCCATGTATCAAATCACTTTGCCAGACAACTCTGGTGTCAATTACCGACTGTGGAAAGTGGAAAATTTTGGCTCTTCCGAAAGGCAGAGTCGAGCCGACGACTACGACTTTATTCCAGAGCACTCCGATGATCGCGCTACATGCGCTCCAAATCGACCAGGGGTTACAAAAACGCTTCTATCTATACTAATTTTGTCTTGGTAAGCGAATGAAAGTAGAGTAAGTATGTCAGTGGTGCATGACAAGCAGTGTTTGTAAGAACTATGTGATGTACAAAATTTCCATGGTAAACCGTTCGTATTAACACTGATCGTTGTTTGAATTTAGTAGTTATTGTCGCTTGTGTGAATCTGCGGCGCAAAACATTCTGAGGTAACTATAAGTTGGTAGGAGATGCGTTTCATCAAGATGGAATGTATTTTTATGAAAATGGATAACATTTAGGCCTCCTAAGATGACAGGTTGCTCGGCATAACAGACTATGCCGCAGTAAACGTTCCGCCGTAGTAAACTTCTTCAACACCACGATGAGTTATGCATTGCAAATGCATTCTTTCATTGATAAGCTAACACACGAGGTTGATGACAAGGTTTATTCTGCTAACGTTTCGTCTTTCTCAGAGTCGACGGCCCACGAATGGTCGTATTTTCGACATGATGACTGCATCATCATATGGATCTTAACCACTCAATCTGCATTACAAATCTGTCGAAAATTTCAAGAACTTCTTTATCTAGTTTCCTAAGAGAGCTCCACTGTTTTCACAGATTTTCACAACTGCGAGTTGTCAGCTTTTGCCAACCGAATGGCGGTTGATCTCATTATGATTAGGCTTTGTTTAGAACAGTTGTGATCCCTGTTATGCTTAGCGGTTAACTGGTTTTCATAACGAAAATGCTGAAGCCTTTCTTAGATTAAACGGTCCATTGGTGAAATGATCCTTTTGCTGAAAATCGCAGTTCAGTGCTCGGCAATGCTTTTGCTACGATGGGATGGTAAAAACTGAGAGGATAACCACAATGGTGCTGAGATATTCACAAAGTTGGTTCCCGGGATAGATTGGAATCGGCGGTTACCCTTTCCGTGCGCTCGAGTGCTACCCACTGCACAACTGAAGCCTTTGCTTTCCCTTTCTGTTGGCCATTTTTTTCCTAACGGTACTATCGGCAATCGCCCGTCAGCGGGAATGATCTGGTGATTACAAATCGGCGCTGAACCCAGTTAAGCCGAGGCTGTAGTTGAAATCACAATATGTAACTTTTTATTTACTACCTATACTGGTTATTTACTGCCTTAAGTAGGTTCACTGCCGATTTCTGCTCCCCATATAGTTCCTGTTGATGGGCGATTGTTGATGCCACTGCTAGGATAAGAAACTAGCATAAAGAAAGGCAAAACGAGGGCCCAACTGGTGCAGTAGTTAGCACGTGAGACTCCGGAAAAGGTAATCATGGGTTCGAATCTGGCCTGTCTGAGTTGTGCAAATATGTCTGCATTATTGTGGTTGTATTTCACATAATAAACTGACGTGAAAAGGAAAAAGAGGCAATGAATAAAAAGTTAGATACTCAGAGGGCAATGTTAACCTTTTATTTTCTGCCTACTATAATTTTTTAAGCCAGTGTATGATGTGAATTACAACCACAATGATGCTGAGATGTTCATATACACTCAGCCTAATTAGGTTCAATGCCGATTTGTGCTCGCCAGATCAATTCCGCTGACGGGTGGTCGGACGCAGAGCAACGGCCTCCGTGGTGCAGTGTTTAATGCATGGGCCTCCAGAAAGGGAAATCGTGGTTCGATCTGTCCAGGGGTCCAGTTTTAGCGGGAATATGTCAGCATCGTTGTGGTTACAATTCAGGGGATACTTCTGTACAGTAAGAAGTAACAGGGGTTTACACTCTTATGCTGGGGTACTAATTAATCCTTCGTGAAGGATTCTATTTCTCGCGGAAAGGAGGAAAAGCCGCTAAATTCCAAAACCGAATTCCCAGAATCATCGCAAACTGGGACTTATTAAATTCATTAATCGACCGTTGGGAAGATGCCGTTGTCGATAACATCGGCGAAGAATACGATCGGTTCATTCAACGTCTTCACGTTAGCGCAATGAAAGCTGAGAGTTCGAAAGTCACCAAGAGACGTTTGTTTCCAGAAAAACTCGAGCTGCTACGCCAGCGTGGAATCGCACGAGCTGCAGGCAACTGCGAATTAACGTCCGAACTTGCAAAACAATGAAGAGAGGCGATAAAAGCGGATCTTAAAGCGAGAAGAGCAGCAGTAACGGTCGAAGATGCAGAGGCTGGGAAAAGCATTCGCAAAGCCCACCGAAGCTTTGCCAATTACAGGACCAAAATGATTGCACTCTGGCTCCCAGACGGAACAGTTACAGCGTCCAGAAAGACAGTGGAGAAAATCGTTCACAAATACTACTCGGATCTCTTCGATAGCCACATCCACCTTCCGTCATATGAAATAAAGGAGTATGGATATGTTGTACCACCGGTTCTCCATTCCGAAATACCACATGCCATTTCGTCGGTGAAAAATCGAACAGCACCAGGTCCGGACAGGATAAGACCAGAACATCTGAAAAACCTTCCGCCAGTCCTCGTAAACACACTGGCTAGGCTCTTCATACGTTGCCTGTCTGAATGCAAGGTTCCTACTCAGTGGAAGACCAGCAAGACCGTGTTATTGTTCGAGAAGGGCGACCTACACGACATCGGCAACTATCTCCCAATCTGCTTACTGTCTGTCGTCTACAAACTTTTCACTCAAGTCATTCTAAACAGGATTGACAGAACACTAGACGAAGGACAGCCATGTCAGCAAGCAGGGTTTCGAAACGGATTCAGTACGATGGACCACATCCACACGGTAACAACGCTCATTGAAGTATCGCGAGAGTGCAAAAGACCGCTGTGTCTCACTTTCATCGATTTGCAGAAGGCCTTTGATTCAGTTGAGATAGTAGTCTTGGAAGCCCTTCATAGTCAGGGAGTTCCTACCCAGTACATAAGGATTCTTCGTGAGCTGTACAAAATTTTCGCAACCAAAACATAGCCAATCTACAGCAATATTAACATTGAGCTTAAAAGAGGAGTTAGGCAAGGCCATACCATCTCGCCAAAATTATTTACCGCCACCCTCCAGAACGTCATGTGAGCATTGGAATGGGATAATATGGGAGTGAAAATCGACAGTCGGCAGTAACACCATCTTCGCTTTGCTGATGATATCGTCCTTATAACACCAAACATCAGCCTTGCGGAACGCATGCTTGAAGGCTTTGATAAAGCCTGTGGAAAGATTGATCTTCGACTAAATCTCACAAAAATGATGTTCATGAGGAACGGTTTGGTTTCATATGCCCCATTCATGTTCAACGGAACGAATATCTCTGAATGCTCCAGTTATGTCTATCTAGGTCAGGAAATCAATATTGTGAACGACTTAGCTCCAAAGCTGAGCAGAAGGAAACGAGCGGCTTGGGGGCTTTGAAGAGCATCCTGGATGTAGTGAAGAGAACAAAGAACACCCAACTCCGTGCCCACCTTTTCGGCTGAACGGTAGTTCCTACCCTAACGTTTGCGTCAGAAACCTGGTCGCTGCGTATGCAGGATGAAAGATCACTCAGCGTTATTGAACGCGCAGTCGAAAGGACGATGCTAGGAGTATCCCGTTTGACATAGGTAAAAGATGGAATCCGAAGCTCCGATCTGCGTCAACGATCGAAAATCAAGGGTGCCGTTCTGTACGCCAAACAGTCGAAGATAAGATGTGCCGGACACGAAATGCGTATGAATGACAACCGATGGACAGGAGCCGTTAGTGACTGGATTCCTCGGGTGTGAAAGGTACTACAGGAAGACCACCGACCGGATGGTCAGAGTTCTTCACAAAGAGACTTGAAGAAAGATATGATGCTCGACGAGTCCCTAGAGCGAGTAGAACCCCTCGAGTCACTCGACGATCAGCGGGACTACGGGTGATACAGGTGAAATTTTGGGTCATTCAGTTACCTCCTACATTTCCCTAGTTTTGCAAAACGCTGCAACAATTTTAGCCATAGCTGTTGTCATACAAACCTGTTGTTTTGGTACTCAGTAAAAAATTTATTTATTTTAAAATCATTGTGAATAATGGTGAGGCTGAATGTCTTGAATAAATACATAAACAAAAAACTCGTATCATCGGTCGAGAAAGAAGAGAAAAAAGAAGAAGGAAAAGAAAATAAGTCGAGAAAAACCACTTTGAAGGTGAACAGCCGCTGCCGATGCAGTGTCAGCAGTACCTTCCTTGTGAGTCATTCGAAAGCCATCTCAGTCGAACCACCCGCTTGTTCGTATCGTTTACCGTTCTTATTAATATAACGGTCGGACGTTAATACAGCTTATGTTTACGTTAAGCAGAAACAAAGGCAGTGATTCGCCGTTCCGATATTTCAGAAGAATCGAATGTTGGTCGTATTTGCTTTCACTTGGAATTCTTTCCAGCTGCTTCTTTTTTATAGTCATTTTGAAACATTCTTTATTTTGACAAGTTGATCGCTTCCTCTCTATTCCAGGATGGTTGTTCAAAGAGAAGCCAAATCCCCACGGATAATTATGAATATGTTCCCGAATTCCAACATGCTGGTAATTCTGTTCGGGTGGGCCGGTTGCCGTGATCGATATCTCAAGAAATATTCGGATTACTACGAAAAGGCTGGGTTTGTTTTTACACCTCGTCGCCTGTTCTGGTTGAATTTTTCAAAAAGTCTTATTTTCCAGAATCTCCACCATTCGCTACACTACTCCTATTGGTAAAGTACTTGGATATCCGTCTTACCGTTATTTTGCCATTAAGTTCTTTCACGAGGTGCTCGAACAGGACGATTCCATCTCTCACTTCAACGTTTACTTTCATTGCTTTTCGATGAATGGCTGTTCCACATTCACTGCTTTATGGGATCTCCTAGACAAAAAGCCAAACGGGAGCCAGTTCAAGAAACGGGTACAAGGGATCTTATTTGACAGGTGCGAAATATGATAATCTTCTACAAGATTGTTTTTCTATAAAATTGGCGATGAATGCACGGATTAGGTGAATAAGCAATAGTTTCTCCAGACTGTCTGTTTTTTAATTTTATACGACCCGTTTTCACGTCTACTGTGCCGATCATGGCACTTCTTACATTCGATTCGTACCTTTCCCTCCTTTTTTCGCACCCATTATCCTCGAAGATCTTCCAACTTTTACGTTTGGCTTCAGTTGCTGCTTGAAGATTTTCATTTCATCTTGAATGTCGTAGAATGCTGGTCGAGCAATTTTCGAGCAGAAAAAAGAGGAAAAAGAGAACTTTATGTTGCTTGTGTTGCTATTACGTAATGCATATAATAGAAAGTACTACTAACTCTTACTCACAACGATGAAAAAGGCAGAAGAAACACCTGCATAATACATTGGGTTGCCACTGCATCACACCGGAGAGGATTTAGAGAACGCAACGTTATTAACTCATAAGGGAGGATGTGCCTTCTGTAGCGGTCTGGCCGCTTGAGACGACGCCTTATTTTCAGTTCCTATGGACTTGCTAGTTTTTTAACACTTACAAGACGTAGTGACCCCTGTTGGAGTCATTTATTAGGGACGCAGTAGTTGGTATGACCACTTTAATCGTCATTTTATTTTCGTCGGTTTATTTTGGCGCGCAGCACTGTTTTCCTAGACTTCTTGCAATAACCGATTGCTTATTCGACATAGATGTTATAGCAGACGTCGGATAACGAAAGATCTATTCGGCATTTGGAAATGTGCAAAACACCTTTTCTCCAACGAATTCACTGGCCGGTAACTGATAACTCATGTTCTCCCAACTCTCATCACTATAATGGGTGGTTGTCTTATGCATCGGATGAGTACAAAAAGTACATAAATGTACTCAACATAGGCTGAAAAGCACTTCCGAATGTTGACAGCAATGTTTCATGACGAACCATACTAACATATAATAGATGGTAACATATATGTTACGTGAGCCCATGGAGCGATAGAACAAACTCTCTTCTATAATTCCATAATGTTCAGAATCAGTCGAGTCTTTTGATTATCACAATATTACCGCGTATTGTCGAGGAACCATCAGGTCCGTAAGATTAAAGTCGTCCATTCTGACAGTCAAGCAGAGCTACGTGTCTTCCCGTAAGTCTTGCAGAACAAGTTTGGCTGCCCTGCTGCTTGGGACGACACCTAATTTTTAGCCTTCATGGGCTTTCCAGTTTTTTAAACAATTGACGACAATTCTACAATAACTAGTGGGGTTGATTGACACGATTCGTTAGACGGTTGCAAAGCAACGAAACGAATGTATGTGCTGGCGTCTACAAAACTCGTGAAGAAGGGCTGCCCAAGCAGCCAAGTAAGTGGAGAGCTTGTCGGGTTCAGTACTTAAAAGCATTATAGAACAGTTCTTGATCTAACGCTCTTGGTGTATGGCATGTATGGTAGTGTTTTCTATATGTTTGTATAGTTCACCAACAGACCACGTTGTTGTCGGCACTAGAAAGAATTTTCATCCTGCATGGCTCCTATTTCGACACTTTTCATACCCTCTCAAACGGTAGTCATAATTTCGTAACGACTGGAATAAAACAGTAGTCAATTACAGGTCAATTTGTGGGTCCGTGAGCTCAGTAAAAGGTTTTTGTAAGAGAAAAGCTTGTCACATGGGCAAACTTGACATAACGTCTGCGTTAGATAATTTATCGACTGAGTGCAAAAAGTACACTAAATGCTTTGCACGTCTTGATAAACCATTGAAAATGAGAGGCATTGTACTCAATGCATTTCGTCCACTTTGTGCAGCACGAATACCATACAGTGCGCCTCGGTAGAATATAGGAAATACAACACCGTGCTTCAAATTAATGTTATTGGTGACTGTGAGCAATAAGCATGCACATTCACGGTGAACGCAAGTACTCCAACAAAAAAGAACTATTGCTGAGAAAACACAATTTCCACCGCATCATCCAAATAGCTGCTGAATTCCAGCCACTACGAACACAACCATAGGTAATAGTTCCCAGGATCGACTTTCTATTAATCTCGGCATTGGAATATGAATGCGTCGTTTTCTTGTTCAGCAACCACGAGGTTTTTAAACAGCATACATTTACTTCCATAGAGAAACACAATACAATACAACACTAGCTGACGCTTCGGCGGTATCGCCTTCTTCAGAGCCTGGAAGGGTATACTGATATACAATCTACTAGGCCAAACGCTTCAATGACACTTACAAAAAGACGAAAAACTCTTTGGTAATTACATGATCAACAAATTCTCGAAAAAAACTCACCGCTTTCAGCTAGCGTTGTATTGTATTGTGTTTTTCTATGGAAGTAAATGTATGCTGTTTAAAAACCTCGCGATTGCTGAACAAGAAAACGACACAACCATAGGTAGTTGGCTTCTGTGCTAATGATACAGATCAATTGTCTGAGCATGTTAGCGTTGTGAATGAAACGAAAAGTAGTGCTGCAGTTGGTCCTTGAAGCCAAGCCGTCCATACTAGTTCAGTTTCAGCTCACCAGCTTTCACCAGTGCTGGTCAGGTAGCTCATGCAATCTCGTTTGCCTCGATGCCGCCATCCAGGTACCATGGTGCTTTACGGGAGTCGTATCGCGCAGTGCTCTATATCTTTCTCTCCATTTTTTAGTCAGTTTGTTTTCGTCGTTTTATCCTTTTTTTCCTTATTTTTGATTATTAGAGCGCGTTACTCTCCATACGTCCCATGACGTAAATATGCAGTGGAAAGAATAAAAGCTCTTAAATAAGTAAAAAAAAAACAATTGTTTATATCCATTTTTCTCACGAATTTGTATTTCTCTCACCGGAGTCGATTCTCTGTGCACCGAATTAATTTACCTTCTATGGTTATTCATCATCGTAACAGGTACCAACTTGTTTTTTGTTTTTGGAGGGTGGAAGGAGGGATCATTTTCGGATTTCCTTTACAGTATTGATAGAGAGGCTAAAGCTCTCGGTGTTTATCAATCTTTGAGGGATTAGCGATGCATTCGACTTCATTCAACATCGTAAAGGTGGTTGAGTAATTGGATATCTGGCCCGCTCTCAATACACTACCAATGTTTTAAGTCAGTCCCGCCATCCACCCAGGCGCGATGGCTCCCATTTGCTGACCCCGGCCGGTTGGAAGACCTCGTGAGCTCGGTAAGCGGGATCGAACCAGCGACTACGCGAGTATTGCTAGGCACCTCTAGCCACTGCACTACCATCGTCGCATTTTGAATGAAACAGTTTTGAAAACCAGTCATATATGCCCTGAGGTGGGAAAAAACTGTTTGTTTATCGTAGCTTAGATGATGTAGAACACCTTAAGTATGTGAATAGTAAGAAAAGTAGATCCTTTTTTAACGTGTCTAAGTTCTTGTATGACATCATCGCTTTACAAACTTGTTCTCAGTGAGATTTCAATGAGAATGGATGAGTCTGTGTTTCTCATAAACACTAGCGCTTTTTTGGGGCTTCCAATCACTGCTAATATCGCGGGCAATGAAGTAAGAAGGCATCAGTGAATCACTGAATAATTTCTCAGCTTATTTGCGCGCATGTGTGTTCTCGTAGCCATGCATTCCAAAGAAATTTTTTCTAGCTTATTTCAATGGTCGAAGAATGTATTATGAAGACAATCAAAGCCTAACAGGCACCATCACGTTTACAAATGCGCTCCCATTAACAAGGAAATGGTACAGCCTCCTTAGGCATTAGTTTGATCCTGTCGTATACTCACCAAGCTCCTCATCCTTTCGGTGTCGGGAAATTAGTTCTGGAATTGTCTGGGCCCTCAAATCCACGTGGGAATACCTTAGCACGGCTATCTTAGGCTTCCAAGGAGAATCGGAGATTTGACCAGCATTAATGACATTCATAAGTCCTCACGATAATCCTCGAGGAGCAGGGAGATCCACACGTGGAAAGTTCGAAGACCTTCACGGACGATGTATGTGAGGAAGCGAATAGAATGAAAGAATGCTGCGAACCACACAGTGTGATACATAATGTCTTGTCATGCAATAGTAAAAAAAAGTAGTCCCATTATCCACTGAAGAGTTTTGCGCAAGGCTGCCCTACAGTACATAGTGGATGGATCGCTACTTCGATCCTACGCCCGAGTTCACGAAGGACTCCACCCCTCAGGGGTTAGCAAATTGGTACCAGACTTCTTCGTGAGGAGAGCAACCCGTATCACCTGTAGTCCAGTTCATCGCCGAGTAACTTAAGCGGGCGTCACTAAATCTTCCACTTTCTTTTTCGCGTGCCGAAGTGGTCCAGTGGGTTCACGCTGTAGGGACTTGTCGAGCATCATAACTTTCTTCCAGCCTCGTCGTGAAGAACTCTGACCATCGCGTCGATGACCTTTCTGCAGTTTGCTTGACATGTCAAGGAATCCAGTCACCAACGGCTGTTGTACATCAGTTGTCGTTAATATGCATTACGTGTCCGGCCCATCTTATCCTCGACTGTTTGACGCACAGAACGACATCTTGATTTTTTATCGTTGACATAGATCGGAGTTTCGGATCTCTTCCCTTACTTATGTGACAAGGGGTACTCCTGGCGTCGTCCTTTCGACTCCGCGTTCGATAACGCTGAGTGACCTTTCATCTTGCTTACGCAGCGACTAGGCTTAATTTTGGAAAAGTGGGTACGGAGTCGTGTGTTCTTTTTTCCCTTCACTACATCCTCGATACTCTTGAAAGCTCCCCAAGCCGCTCGTTTCCTTCTGCTCAACTCTGGAGATAAGTATTTCATTATATTGATTTCCTGACCTAGATAGACATAACTGGAGCATTCGGAGGTATTCGTTCCGTTGAGCGTGAATAGGGCACACGAAACCAATTGGTTCCTCATAGACATCGTTTTTGTGAGATTTATTCGAAGACCGATCTTTCCACAGGCTTTATCAAAGCCTTCAAGCGTACGTTCCGCATGGCTGATGTTTGGTGTTATAAGGACGATATCATCAGCAAAGCGAAGATGGTGTAACTGCCGACTGTCGATTTTCATTCCCATATTTATCCCATTCCAATGCTCACATGACGTTTTTGAGGGTGGCGGTAAATAATTTTGTCGTGATGGTATCGCCTTGCCTAACACCTCTTTTGGCGTCGATGTTAGTATAGTTGTGGAATGGTGATATCTTGGTTGTGAAATTTTTATAAAACTCACGAAGAATCCATGTATACTGAGTGCGGCCCCCTCGCCATCTAGAGAAACCATGTTCTATTTTCTAAACAGAAGTGAAAATCTTCTTTGTGTTGACGAAACTGAGACAGAGAGGTCTTTTGTACCCTCCCTATACTTCAGTGAGCCTTGTTATGGTGTGATGTGGTCCACTGTATTGAATCTTTTTCGAAACCCTGCTTGCTCACGTGTCTGTCCTTCGCCCAGTGTTCTGTCAGTCTGGTTTAGGATGACTCTAGTGAAAAGTTTGTAGACGATAGACAGCAAACAGATTACACGATAGTTGCCGATATCGCGGAGGTCACCCGTCTTGAACAATAATACGGTCCTGCTGGTATAACACTGAGTACCTTGTATTCGAACAGGTAACGTTTGAAGAGCCGAGCCAATGTGTTTACGAGGACTGACGTAAAGTTCTGCAGGTGTTCAGATGTTATTCTGTCCGTACCTGATGTGTTCGATTTTTCGACGACGAAATAACATGTCGGATTTTAGGAGGGAGACCCGGTGGTACAACATATCCATACTCCTTTATTTCATATGACGGTAGGTAGATGTGGCTATTGAAGAGATCTGAGTAGTAGCCGTGAATGATTTTCTCCATTGCCTTTCTGGACGCTCTAACTGTTCCATCTGGTCGTCGGAGTGCAATCATCTTGGTCTTGTAATTGGCGAAGCTTCGGTGGGCTTTGCGAATGCTTTTCCCAGTCTCTGCGGCTTCGACCATTACTGCTGCTCTTCTCTCTTCAAGATCTTCTTTTATCGCCGGTCTGCATTGGTTTGCATGTTCGACGTTGGTTCGCGGTTGTCTGCAGCACGTTCGATTCCACGCTGAGGTACCAGCTCGAACGTTTATGAAGACAAAGGTCTCTCGTTGGTTTTCGTACTCTCAGTTTTAATAGCGTTACCGTGAAGATGTTGAATGAGCCGATCGTATTCCTCGTCGATGTTGTCGAGAAGCCGTTTTCCCACCAGCCGGCTAGTGAATTGAACAAATACCAATTTATGGTGGTTTTGGGACTTTATTTTTTGAACTTTGTGGTTTTTTCTCCTTTAGGCGAGGAATGAAATCTCGCACAAAAGAGACAATGGTCTGATCTCGTGTAGAAAACAACAGCGATATCGGAAAGACAAAACCTTTTATTTTCTATGATGTGGTCTATATCGTTATGGTACTGTCCACTGGGGGACTCCCACGTTTAAGCGTTAAGGGTAGCGCTTCCGGAACTGCGATTTACCATGGACGGCCTTGGTCGTCGTGATGAACTCAGGCAGCTGCTCACCCTGCTCGTTTCGTTCTATTTTGTGGGTCCCAATGTGGCTTTCTTCAGACGTTCTTCTTGGTTCAATCTTAGCGTTAACGCCGAAGTTAAAGAGAACAACAGTAAGTCAACGCAACTAGTGTTATATGGGCCAATTGTACATCCAGTCTTCTCTAATGATGCTTATTGAAGTCGAGTGCAAGCCGCATCCCTTAGAATCGACGCAGAAAGCTTTAACCTCTTGTTCTTTAATCCTGTTCACCACTGAGTAATTCGAATGAACGGACCCTAATCAACTCTTCGTTTACCTTTGTTGCACTTCAGAGCTTTCTAGTGCACTTAGCGGTAATGTGGATAAGAGTTGCTTACCTAGCTCTGGCATAGTGAGGTTTTACTCTTTTTCTGTAACTAGGCTTAAAGATGAAAATGTTAAATTTCTCAACGAGGGTGACGTAGCTTCAGGATGACGTCTCAGTTGTATTTTGGCATCCAGGAATATCCTAACCACGAGACAGTAAGCCATTGTGAAACAATGGAAGTATTATGATTCTAAAGCTTAGCAATTCATGCGTGCTTAGGATGTGGCAGCTCTTTTCCTTGGTATATACACTGCACACTACATTTCCTATGCAGATATGAAGCAAGTGATCTCTGTGATTACTTAAAGAGTACAAGCTTGTTTATGAAAGTTTCAACCGCGCTTTCAACACCCATACTCGATTTGTTAAAGATTGCATATTTATATTTTACTAACTTGAGTATTCCTAATCAATTCGGGAATTCCATTTCAGCTCTATTCTGTGGATGTGGTCACTGATAGAGAAAGACGTCTACGAGAAATGGTATGCATATCATCGTATGCTGGCGTTGGAGGATCTACCGATGAGGCAGATTTATCTCTACGGAACCGGCGACCATGTAGGTGTCGATTACTAAGTTAGAAGACAGAAAGAAAACATAACAGAAAAATCAGGCCCTGTGTACTACGAATTGTAGCCATCTATGAAAATGAGGAGATCATAATGTGTAACTGTTATCTACTGCACGTTATTTTTCATGGTGGAGTATTATGTGAAGTACCATCACGCAGACGCTGAGGTGTTTGCAAAAGTTGGTTCCCAAGCCAGATCGAAAGCGCGCGTGCTCTTTCCGAGGGCCCACGTGTTGCCCACTGCATCACTGATACCCTCGTCCTACCTTTCTCTCAGCCATTCTTTTGCCCTATCTGTGCCGTCAGCAATCATCCGTTAACGGGAATGATTCAGAGTGCACAAATCGGCATTAAACTCAGTTAAGCGGAGGCTGTAGTCGAATTCACAATATATAACATTTATCTACTACCCATTATTTTTCACGGTAGGGTATTATGTCGAATGCGACCAAGATGATACTGAGATATTCCCTTGGCGGGTGATTGCTGAAGTTAACGATAGAATAAAAGACTGGTTGAGAGAAAAGCAAAACGAGGACCTCAGTAGTGCAGTGGGTAACAAGTGGGACCTCTGAAAGAGTAATCGTGGGTTCGATCTGGCTTGGGGTCAGGGTTTTGCAAATATTTCAACATCTTTGAGGAAGTCATAGTTTTTTTGTAGTTCTTAGGTAGAAACTGACAAAACCATTTTATGAAAAAGAACGGAGGCAATTGTAGCAACATTTCTGGGATTCCGACCGTGATAAACCAGTTATAAAATTTAAATGGCATTTTGCCATGGTAGTTTTTATCTCAGGTTTAGATGTGTTGTCGATTGTCGCTTTCTAGTTTAACACAACTATAAAGGAGGGGACGCATTTTTTGTAACGAGATTGAAGACATCCTCATCAGAGTAGGGGACATTTTAGGAGTGCCAGCTCTGATTTCAATGCCGGTTCCAATCAGATTACAAGTGAAACAATGTTAACCTTTTGTTTTCTGCCTACTATAGTTTTCACGGTATGGTATGATGTGAGATACAACCAGAACGACAACAGAAACGCAGAGCAAGGGCCTCCGTGGCTCAAGTGTGTAATGCGCGAGGCCCGGAAAGGTAAGTCGTAGTTCGATCTGGTCCGAGGTCCAAGTTTCGCGAATATCTCAGCATCGTTGTGGTTGTTTCTCACAAATGAAACAGTTGTAATAGTTGATATTTAGAAGCTATCAGAGTGAGGCACTGCGTAAGCAAATTGCTCGTCTTTTTCTTGGTTTGTTAATCAGTTCTTTAAATAAGGAGCCGAATGTTGAGGAAATAGTATTTATTGGTATAATTTCAGGTCTGTTCCGTAGATTCGATTGAGGCTTTTGCTGAAGCACAACAACGACGAGGTGCTACTATTCAGCTTCGCCTCTGGAAGGACTCATTGCACTGTCAGCACTACCGGTCTCATCCCACGGAATACGAGCAGTACTGCTTGGATTTTGTGATGGAGCGGAGTTCTACTTCTGATTGTTCTACAGTTACCGAGATGCTGAACGAAATCTCCACTTCGGAACTTATTCTTCCAGAAGTAACTGATCGGGCTTGTATGATATGATCTTGTTGAGATAAATTGTTTCTTCTACGGCTTGTAACAACTGAGTAAATGTGTTTTACACAAACACGCGCACAGTTACTGTCGCTATCACTCCATGGAAAGTGTGAATAGAGTGCTTCCGTTGATGGCGACTTGTCACCGCCTGATCGGTTGTCATTCACAGTTGGGTGATTTATGTCCCTCGGTCGAGCATGTGCTCGTAAGTCGTCCACTGGCGCTCTCCGGATTTCTCGACACGTTTCACTAAATACGAATGATGAGGGTAAAGTTGTCGATGACCTGTCTAATGATACATTTCACAGAGGTGAACAACCTCGATGACACGGCGAAACTCTTTGCATTTTTCTTGCATTTCGATTCACGAATGATCAGAGATGATAACAGTTTGACCAAAAAATCGATAATCCACAAGAGGACAGCTCTGTGCTCGTGGGTTATCACACTGGTAACTGATCGACGCCAGGGAAGCTGGACAAGCCCAAGACGAGATTAAACGGTTAATCCTCTCAAATGTGTTATATTGCGATGCAGAAGATGTATTCATAGGAAAGTAAGGAAGCAGAAGAAAATTAACGTGCGCTGTATTGAACGGTTTCCATGTACATTTCCAGGCAGCAGAACTGTGACACCCTTCAGGGACCACGACTGCTTCTACGATGCCTTGTTGACAGTAACGCGCTCACGATCCGAACCGCATCTCTCAATTTGTCAAAGAATCCCCGTTTGTCTCGTCGTCCCCGCTAGAACGAGCAGGTCCCGTCGTCTCGGTGATGTCATACGGCCGTTTGACGGTGGGTAAGAAGCCAGTCCTAGCGCCGTACTGTTGAGCGCACGCGGGCGACGTCGCGCACGAACAACGGCCACCTACATGAGAGGGGTCTGCGACGACGCACGCGACAGCCGTCTGCCCCGTCCATCGATTTTCGCGCTGTCGAGAGTGGAGAGAGAGAGAGAGAGAGAGAGAAAGGGAGGGAGGGAGGGAGAGATAGAGAGGGAGAGAGAGAGAGGGAGAACGAGAAAGCGACTGCCGTCCGCGAGTGATTCAGTGTGGTGCGGTGACGGTGGAGCTGACCTGCGACTCTGACTCATGGATGGCGAAAAGGGCGAGTTCCAGGCCCTCGGCGGCTCTCTGGCCCTCCATCAGAAAGGCGAATTCCAAGCCCTCAGGGGCACCCTCTCACTTGACCTCAGCAACTGTAAACTACGCTCAGACCCACAACCTAGCAATGGTGAGTCTTTTTCGCCGTTGTTTCGATGCCTAAGGTGCCGATCGTTCAATTTTTTGTCTCGTCGTTCCGGTGCCTAACGTGCCGCTCAGTCAGTTCATTGTCTGCCTGTCGACGGTGCTTTCCTGCTGATTTCTGGCAATTTCAGAATCACGTACCGATCCGACTCTTGAGCAAAAGCAGTACGCCCAAGGATTTCTTGGTTCGTCCTAATTTCATTTCTCTGCGATTATTCCGTTCAATCCGTACCTCCCGAACACTTTCTGGACTCAGTTTATCGTGCACGTTTTAGACGCCCTTCGTGCTGTTCAACAAATTCATAATTTCGAGTTCGAGAAGAAGGTGCTTTCTCCGGGATTCATAGCACCAATTGTCGGCACTGCTGAATTCCTCACTCCACTTATTTCCCCCTCTAGTCGGTACGTTTTTCTTTTCGATTTCAACGCTCTGTAGTCTTCCGTAATGCTTCGAAATTATGACGCCTAGCGTTTTTTTTATGAATCTTTTGTTTGCCGACAGGAAACTTTATGCTATAAAAACTGGAGTGTGTTGATTCAACAGGACTGCCGAATGACTACGATGAAATTCTCTGCTTCCGAAGGCGCTTTACGGGTGGCTTTATGGGATGACGAAATTTGCATCCTCGAACCCACTGCTCAGACCAATTCGGGATGTTTGATTGCATTTCAGAACGCAAAACCCAGTCAATCAATTGTGTGCTTCGCAATGTTAGTAGGCGTATAACCATGAATTCATTACAAAGAAGCCGGCGTAGTGTAATAGTGTGTGAAAGCACAGAGATTTTCGGGATATTGTGACTACAACATGTTTTTTCGACGAATGAATAATTTCCAATCTGTCGCAGGACTTGAAAAGTTAGGTAAAGCTCTAGTTTACAAGTTTTACACAGCGGGCGGCCTTGTCTGTTCGACAAGTTGACGTACGTGAGGTTTTATTAAACACACGGCAGTGGTGTTGTGCAGCAACACACACGTCATGAAGAAGGATTCCGTTTGCGCTTTGCTGTCTGTTCATTGCACACGAATCGTCTGATGGGAGAGAAAGACAGATAAGTGTCCGATGGAGGCGCTTCGGAGACATTTAGTCACACTCGTCGGTGATAACAGTGTGGCATAACCGAATACCATCGTCGGCTCCAGGACTCCGCTCATATTTGCTTTCGCAAGAGCTTTTTTTCGCATAATGCGTTAGTGTAGTCGAGTTCTTCATTGAAATCTTAAAAATGTATTGAGAAAATGGTTGTCTTGAAAAATGTTTGGGAGAAAAATGAATGCACAGATTAGTGAGAGTATCACTTTCAATAATCGTTGAGATCCAAAGAAGAGAATTAAGATGTCAAAAGAATAAGTCGCTCCTTCGTTCTGAGCAGATACAACGAAGTTTGATTTACAGTGACTACCAAGCGATCCTTAACGCAATGGTAGCCAAAACTCCAATCATGCAACCGGTAGGCGGCAACTCGACAAACTCGAGCTTAGCGACAAACACGGGTTTTCCGACGGCAATATCAACGCCGGGAACGTCGTCTGCTGCTGCACCATCCACGTCGGCCACCGTGACTGCTGCGGATTCATCGATTTTACCGAAAGTCGAGGTCTGAATTCTTGTCAGAAAGGTTTAGGTTGCCAAGAGGGACACATCTAATGTTCTCTATTGAAAATGGTGGCCAAAGATTGTGTGAATTCCTTTGGGAAAAAATGTTTGGGCTGCGTTTAGATAAAGTAATCCTTGGTTGGAATATGCACACTGCCATGTCACTTTCGTAATATTTTTTTCTTTGTGTGAACCCTAGATTTCTATACTAATTGGCATAACGTTCCATGAAATAATTAATCATTTTCTTACTCCATGGTAGTCACACGATCACAATTCCAGTAGGTTCTTAATTGAGGAATTGGGCAGTCCATTCCCGCATAGTGAACGTCTAATGTAGTTGATCAAACTCTTTGAGCTTTCTAGAGAACAAATTCTCCTCTGTGTTCCAGATTAAGCAGGAACCGCTGTACATTTCCGAGGATTTATCCGAGTCAGACCGATCGGGGTCGTCAAGCACGGTGACGACTCGGAACACCAGATCGCTCAAGGGTGACTCTGCAGAGTGAGTAGTTTGCGTTTTTTGCATTTTGAGTGAACGCTCCCTCAGTAATTTGCTACGATAATTTTTTTGTACTGATATTATCCTTGTTTATATATAACATTGCTAACAGTACAGTATTGGTAGTTCAGAAGGTAAAAAAGTGACTTCATATGCGGGATTTTCTGCAGCTGTGGTTAAACTGATGATCGGACTTCATTTCTTCCTATATGCGTAAGAATGGTCAATTTATTTCGGGTTTCAAAAGATTTGCCGAGGACTGAAACATTCAGTTGAATATACGCCACAACCCCAAACGACACTCCTGTCTCATCTTACGGCATTTTGGGGTGAAGGCTGGTTAGACATGTGGAGATGGATATGCCTCTCTATTCTCCAACCTTGTTAAAACGATTATACCAGGAATTGTTTATTTAAAAAAAACCCGCGAAACAGAGGGATGCCGGTCATGCTTCCACGATGGAGTAACAATTTGAGGTTCGGGTGTCTTTCTCTGTCTTAACTACAATACTCTTCTTACCGCGGATATCTGTGCCTTCATATATTCAAAGTACTGTGACAGAAAATGGTCCTCAAGAAGTAGACTACGTGATGGGACACAACTTTCTCGAGGTTTTGCAGTTGTATTATATTAGTATTACGTTACAGACTTGTAATTCAATTTAAGGGCGGTAATGAAAGATAGACAGAAAATATGCTGATCAACGTCTGACCGCTATTTCATTGTTGTGAGTCAGGGGATTTTGATTCAACTTTTCCGTAAACCCGTTATGAGAAGCAATTCCTTTCAAAATCTTTGAATGACGTAGAGAAGAACAATCACACGTATCACCGGTAACTCTGTTAATCAAACATTAATTCATGCCGACGATAATGAAGCCCATTCGTAGCCAACGCTCATTTAAGAGACACAAGGAAGCGTAATACTTCTGACATGGTGCCGTGTCAGTAATGTTTCTGGGGCGGGGTTTACCATGGGTAGCCCTCCAAGACTCTGCCATGACATGGGTTTGCTAATCTCTGCGCTTCCAGGTGGAAATATCAAACCTCACATTTTGGGAGACCTGGTTAGGTGTCAACCTCGACACATCACAGTTCGACACCAGATGTGATAGTGAACTATCGAGATGTGGTCAAAAGAGTGTTAAAATAGATTTTAGGCAAATACTTTTCGCTTCTATAATATTAACATTATCGAAACTCTGAAAGCGCCTCTCAACGGTCTTAGATTGGTAACTCGTTGTCGCGTATATTTCCAAAAAATTAAACCTACGGAAACACAAATCCCTTCCTATCTGTTGCTCTCCCTCCCCTCCCTCTCTCTTTCTCTCTCTTATTGTGACCTTCACACAAACACCACACCAAACTCTTCTACTTCCTTCCATTACTTGCTTGGTTCATAAACACTGAAACACTTCCGAATATTGGAGACTACTAAACCGATTCCGTTCGTTCTGGTTTCATACTTTTGATTATGCTTTTTCTTCTCCTCACATCTTGCAAATCGTCCCACTTAATGATTAATAGAGAGTTTTTGTTTGCCTTTATGGTATCCATTAAGTTATTGGATTGTAATGTACTTGTCAAAGGCATCAAAATGTTTTTGGGGAAAATTTATCACCATGGTAATTTTCCATTATCGAGCGGTTTTGTTAAAGCACGCATATGTCCTTGCAGTACCGTAGCTCGAAATTCGAATCATTGAAGAGATGAGCAAAGTGAATCCTCAGGAAAAAGAGGAAGGTGGAGCGAACTGAAATCCATCCGTGCTACTTTAAGCACCAGTAAACAGCATATTCAATGGACGTAGACGAAATGAGGGAAGATCTTAACGTTGAGCATTTAACAGACTGTCTTCCAGACAGGTCATTTCACCTTCAAACAGAAATGTTGTTGAAATCTTAATGGTAAAAATTATGCAGAGTCTCATCTATTTCCTGTCATCCCACTTATAGATAGTTAATAAGCTTGAAATTGGATTTTTCGACTGCAAATTAGGTTTCAAAATTTTATTAGAAAGGGAAAGAAGTGCTGCTGTTGAGTACACCTCTACATAAGTATGTGTGGATTGAAAAAGTGTTTAAATTGTAGGTTATCATCGTTTCAGTTTTGGATTCGTAGTAAGCCTCACTAGTCGATAAGGCGGTACGTAAAAGAAGTTTTAGTAAGAGGAAAAGTTCCAAGTTTAACAGAGGAGTGGTCGTGCTGAAACCTCTATGATTTTACTTTGGAAAGTTATCGTATTCTTTCTTTCAAAAACTTTCATACAAGTTCTCGACGAAACCCCTTAATATCTGGAACTGCTGTCTACACGTTGCATAAAGCATAAAGCTGTGGACGTTGATCAATTCCCGAGAGATGCGCCACGCATAGACTTCGTTACTTATCGTTTGGAGGTGATTGTATGCATATATGGCTTTTACAGTAACTCGCGGTGGCCTGCCGATGTATCGAACCAGTGTTGCTATCCTACCAGACACGTCTGGTACCAATTTGCCGACCCAGGAGGGATGGAAGGCTTGGTGGGCCAGGGTCACTGGAATCGATCCCATGTGTATTGTAGGGTGCCTCCGACCACTACACCACACGTGCCCACGGCTTACGGTCATACCATGTTGAGGGCACGCCATCCTGTCCGATCTGGCAAGCTAAGCAACACTTTGCATAATGCTTCAAATTTATAATTCCGCTTCACTACCGTTCTTCTTGTTTTATTGTAGTTATATCTTTCAATTGCGTATAATTTCCTTGAGATTGTACTTTCTATGATTTCACCAAGTACAAATAACCTGACGTTTTTTTTTCGGTTTAAAAGGAGTTTGTGGACTAGTTCGTCTCTAGAAGTTAAAATGTGGTAGGATTCCCGTAAAGTGCGATTGAGGAATCAATGGAAAAGGCGGTTTTGCTTGTTTTTTAAGAATGTTGAACATCTGAACTGCGGTCTTCTGATTCTCAAATTCATGCAACCCCATAGATAATTCCTCTATCAAATAGAGAATTTTCGCACCATTCTCTGACTGCTTTAAGTTGATGATGCGCCCCATTTTCCACATGTTTCGCGGCAAGATTGGGAAGTCGTTAGATTGCCTCGTTTGTTATTTATGTTGTTTGTGGGTTTCACAGAGACTCTTCAAGTATTCTTGGCTCCAGATGTTCCAATATTTTTCTGTTAGTTTGTGAGCTGACGCAAGGGCATCTTTCCCTTGCTGTCGTAGTAGTGCCGCTTCTTGGGGTGGAAGGTAGGTTTTATTTTCTTCTTCTTCTTCTTTGATGAATTCAGATAAGTAACGAATCCCTCGGGGCCTTCTTGATATGTGAGAGGGCGAGTGTTAAGGTTACCTTCTGTTTCGACTAAGAGGTGTTCTAATTCTTCTGTTGTTGGGATCGTTCTATGCAGTACTTTGTAAAGAGAGTACTTGACCGATTTTATGAGACGCTCCCAAAATGCCCCATGCCACGGAGCATAGTAATTATCCTTGATGTTAGCCTCTTTGTTGCCGTTGTACTTGCTAGTGTCGTTGATAATGTTCGCTCAGAAAGAAGTTGGGTGCATTACTAAGGGTGGTAGGATTCGGCATGCCTCGTCTGCCAAAAGATCGCCTTAATACTGGTAGGAAATCATTCGTCGTTACGCTGTGTAAAGGATAAAGGATAAAGGGATAAAGCTGTCGGCGTTGGTCAATCACTGAGGATGCGTCATGCATTGGACTTCATTAAGCAGCGTTGGAGGTCATTGAATGCATATCTTAACTTCTCAATGACTCGCGGTTATCTACCCATGTATTGAGCCAGCGCTGCTATCCTTCCAGACAGGTCTGGTACAATTTGCTGACCCCGGAGGATGGAAGGGTTGGTGGGCCAGGGGCCGCGGGGATTGATCCCATGTGTGTGTTGCGGGGCATCTCCGATGCCTGTGCCACACGCGTCCTTTGTGCTGTGTACGAGTTCTAAATGAAGTATTCTGGTTGTCACGCATGCAAAGATGATACTGTAGACCTTCGTTGTTCCTTCATTATTTTTCGCTGTTATTGGTCTGAATTAGTCTACACCTGTATGCTCATCTCCTTACTCGCCTTTCTGAGAGGTCGTTCATCGGTGGGTAGTTGTAGGGCAGATTGTTTTGAGAGGCCACGCGTTGTCTTATGACTTTCGTATCCATTTGTCTTAGGCTTGTCATCCAAAATTTTTCGTGTACGTTGGGTATGGTTTAGCTTGTAGCATTGTAGAACGAAAAATGTGCATCGACGACTAATAATTCTGCAATTATAGAGAATATTTGTTAGGTATGTAGAGA